TCTAAAAAGCAAAAAATAACTACAATTGAATCAAATATTCAATATAAGAATGAATTAACTGAAGGTAGTTTTGAAACTAATGATACTATTGATTTAACAGAAAGTACACCAACTGAGACAACAGTCGAACTAACAAATACTAGAAAGAAAGTGATTTTAACTCAGTTTTACTTACTTTACAAGATCCCTCCTGGGTTTGGGAACATTTTTCAAAAGGATATAATAATAACAATAAAATTATTTTATTTATATATACTATATGCAAACTTAAATATAAGTCAACCAATATACCAGGAACGCTTGCTAAACATCTACATAATAAACATAGTAACTATATTGGTAATCGACAAAGCACTCTTGAAAAATTTATAAATAAGCCATATTCAAAAACAGATCAACGATACCAGCAACCTACAGATACAATTGTGGATTTTATAGTTTGCTGCCAGCTTCCTTTTTCTATCATTGATAATATATATTTTATTACAATGTTAAATAAACTTAATAGATGATACTAAGTACCTTGTCGACAAACTATATGAACTAAGATTTTGAATAAATATAATTATATGTATGAAATAATTTTACAAAAACTTGAAAAAGCTAGAAAGGTTTCAATTACTTGTGATATTTGGAGTTCAATTGCAATGCAATCATATCTTGGTATTATAGTTTATTTTATTAATTATGAATGGTAATTGAATCATTTTTTACTTGATCTTTATTATTTTACTGAACAACATACTGCTATAAACATTAAACAAGCTCTTATACAAGTATTAGATAAGGCTAAAATTACTAAAAAGTTGTTGGGAATTACAACTGATAATACATATTCGATGATAGCTGCAGGGCAGAAACTTAAAGAAACACTAGATAATTATGAATTAGTTCATCAGAGATATGCAGCGCACATGCTCAATATTGTTATACAACATGGTTTGCAGTTAGCATCAATAACTATAAAAAGAGTTTGAGATTTTGTAACAAAAATTCAGCATTCAACAAGATTAAATGAGTCTTTAAAAACAATTTATAAACTTGAAAATAAGCCTGAATTAAGACCTGATTTAGATATAGAGATGCAGTGGAATAGTATATACTTTATGTTAAAAAATTTTTGCCAAATACGAGATATTTTGGATCTTTTTATTATTAAAAATTGGAATCTTTCTGATTTCTATTTGCAAGATTATGATTGGCTAGTAGTTAATAGTTTAATTAAATTACTTGAACCATTTTTTATAGCAACTGAAATATTATCAACTTCAACATATCCTATTATAAGTGATGTAAGATTAACTATAATTGGTTTATTGTGACATTTAAAATTTTTTCTTGAAACTCACTCTGATACTTCTTTGAGCGAATGTATAGTGGCAAATTCAATTAATTTTAAACTTCAAGAATATTGGGAATGTGTTGATGAATCAACAACAATTGGAGCTTTGTTAGATCCACGATCTAAGACTAAGACTTTTAAAGATATTAATAAGTATGATAGAGCTATAGCACTTTTGCATAACAGAATGGAATTATATAAAAATGATGCTTAATCTACTAATATAAATTTATAATCAAAAGAAAACAAACAGTCATTTTTTGAATCTTTAAATTCTGAACAAAATTCTAAACAAGTAACTGTTGAAGATAAAATTACTCGATATTTTGCAATTCCAGTTGATCCTAATACAAATCCATTAGATTGGTGGTGCCATTTTGGTAAAGATTTTTCAATTCTTGCAAGTATGGTATTATGCTATTTAAGTGTTCAGGATTCAAGCATACCTTTAGAACAGGCTTTTTCTATGGTAGCAAATACTATAACTAAAATTCATTGTAACTTAAAACCAAATACTGCACATGCAGTCATGTGTCTTAAAAGCTAGATTCAGCAAGTGTGTAACAAGAATGAAAAAGAACTTGACATAGAAAGCTTTTTTCTTCTTGAAATATAACATTTTGACTATATATATATATATTTATTATTAAGAAAGTGTTAGATATTAGCTAATATCATAAATTTTTAGAAGAGGGATAGGCTAGTAACTTGATTTTAGCTAAGCTAATATATTCTTAGTAACTTTATTATAGTGCTTTTTGAATTACTGTAATAACAAATTTTATACCATATTATAGAAACTAGGAATCTATTAAACACCAACTGATTTTTATCATAAGGTCCAAGTTCAAGATTTCTTAATCATAGTCTGATAAATTTCAATATTTAAAGACATCTTTGAATACTACTAGTATATAGAATTGAAAGTAGCTTATAATATAGAAAATAAGAAAATATATTTATTTAAAGTTTGTAAAATTTAGATAAAATGTAGGGATGGGTCCCCATAGCCTAGTGATCTAGATGCTCTCCCTCCACAGACAAGGCCAATAGTTCAATTCTAGCTGGAGCCAAAAAAAACTCTGTAATCTACAGAAACATATGAATGTATGCGAAGCTCTGTGACTAAGCCCATGTGAATAGAAAATCGGCATATAAGGAAGTTTCTGGAAAGAAGCCTCCCAATATGGAGAGTTGGTGCTCGATGCGAGAGAAGCGGTGAACATACCAGAAATAGAGAGAAGGTGCACTAGCGAGTGATACGGTGAACATAAAAGGAAGTTGCAGAAAAGGAATGGACTTACCGAAATTCGAACACCTCTGGTACATACCGGTTTCAGTAGATATGGGTTACACTGAAGTTGGACAAAAATCTAAGAGGTAATCTTGGTACCTTACTTAGTAAGTTTGCGTTGAGAGTAAATTCGAAGGACTATGGATACTTAGTAATATCTAATGTGGTAGTACTTTGATATAAATAGTAATTAGATAGCCCTAACCTGGTTGTCATCAATAGTAATATTAAAATATGTATATGCAAATAGTGTTGGAAAACCAGAAAGTTTAAATAGAGGACCCAGAGGCGGGTCTCAGGTATAGCATCTAGTAGGTAACCTGCGGGCGGAACTCTTAATTAAATAATGACTAAAGTTATATGTGTGGCTAGTTGTACTTTTGTTAACAGACTACTGTATATAAATAGTTATACCTTACTAATAATGACACACAGGCAAGATTGCCATTAAAAAAAAAAAAAATTTAGATAAAATCTTTATTACACTACAAGATCTAGTATATATTAAGTATAGCGAAAAATCATTAGATTATTTTTTAAATAAAGAATATAGTGAAAACTCATTGAATTATTTTTTAAATAGAAAATATGCTGAAAAATTATTTAATTATTTTTTTAAATAAAGAATTATAAAAATATAAATATTTATATGAATTTAAAGATTTTTGTTCTAGCCGATGAACTAACAATTATGGTAATTTAAAAAAGCACTTTAAATATTATTATATTGAACAATTTTACAATATATTTTATACCATAAAGTAGAGTTGTTAATGAAGCAACGTATTCTGGGTTATACTCCATTTTAAGGTTGAAATAAGATGAGATTTTAAGAATTATATAGTAACCTGAGCAAAGTTATTTCTTATAACCTGGGTTACTCTATATATGAAGTAACCTGGAGCAAAATTTTCTTATAATCCAGATTGCTCTAAATTTTCATCGATTATTTGAAATAGCTAGTCATATTAGGATTTTGACTTCACTCATATACAGTAAAACCTTCATAAATGCACCTTATATAAATATACACTCTCTTCAAATGCATGCTTAATCTCTGGCCCTAATATATGCATGACTCTATAAATACACTTTTTCTTATTGTTCTCTAAATGCACGATGTTAAAGTTTAGTCTCAAGTATATGCATTTATAGAGGTTTTACTGTAATAATTTATTTGATGAAAATAAAAAAGCTTCATATTTCATTTTTGCATCTTATACTATATCATTGTCATGAGCAGGTTATTTTAGTTTCTTATAGCTTTTTTCTTTGGTAAGTTCATTAGAGTTCTTTTAAATATATTGCAAATCTATAGTGAAACCTCTATAAATGCATGCACTTGGAGGACTAAATTTTAACATCATGTATTTAGAAAAAGTGCATTTATAGAGATCACACATATATTTGGGCCAGATGTTGAGCATGTATTTAGAATTTATAGAGGGTGCAATTATGGAGGTTTCACTGTATTTATTATCTGAATATAATAGAAATCTCGAACAGTTTAATAATATCAATCGGAAAGCTAGAATAGGTGATTTTATGAGTGCTATCAAAAGAAAACCTGTCATTAGACTTTCAATGATATTTGTACAAGATATAATCTAATTTATTAAAAATTGTATCTGGTACGAAATAAATTGAAAGCCTGATGACAGGTTTTCTCTTGATGGTACTTATATAAAATTGTAATGGTGATCTGATCAAATTGTAAAAAAAAAAATAACAGGATTTATAAGAATTTAAAGAATTGTTATAAGGTGAAGAGAAGGCATGAATTCATCCGTTAAATTTACTCTTGTTTCATAGAAAGTTAAGCTACCTGAGCTTTTAAAAGAAGTATTGTAAAACATATAAAAAAAATGATTTATTGATTGTATGACTATATTAGAATAATCTACGAATTTGAATAGTCACTTCTGTTAGAGTGGTCTGGAGCAAAACCCGGGTTGCTCCATATGAAGTGCTCTGGAGCAAAATTATTCTTATAATCTGGAGCATTAAACTGGAGCATTAACCCAGAGCACCAACCTGGAGTACAACCTAGAGTACAACCTGGAGTGTTAATTTGAAATACAACTCGGGTTGCTCCATATGGAGTGCTCTGGAGCAAATTATTCTTATAACCCAGAGCATTAACCTGGAGCATCAACCTGGAGTACAATCTGGAGTACAACCCAGAGTATTAATTTGAAATATAACCTGGGTTGGGTTGGAGCAAGACTTGCTCCATTTGATTTTAACCCAACCCACTCCACTCCACTCTATTAACAACCCTAATTACTACTTCAATCTGCCTATCCACTACTACTTCAACCTGTCCATCCATTACTACTACTTTATCTACCACTTCAACTCATCCATCTACTACCTTTTCAACTACCTATCTACTACAACTACTTCAACTACTATTTTAACTACTACTTCAACTTAACAATCTAACATCACTTCATCTTAGTTATCCACCACTTCATCACAACTATCTACTATTTCAACCTGATTATTCACAAATTTAACCTGACTATCTACAACCAAGCCAATAACTATTACTTCAAGTAAGCTATTTACTTTCACTTCAACTGAGCCAATTATTATAATTTAACCTCTATACCAATCAGAAACTGATACTCCTGTAGAATCTGTCACCCCTACCATTTATTCACCTTTGAGAACTAGCAGAAGCTGAAGTCATAGTGGAGAATAATATTCAATTATGATTTAATAGAAAAGAGTAGAAGGCTAGTGAATAGTAATTTTATTAATAGGCTATTATTTTATTTATTTTTTACTTTTTTATTTTTTTATATTTTATTTTTATTTTTTTTATTTTTATTTATTTTTTTACTTTTTTTTATTTTATTTTATTTTTTTTTATTTTTATTTTTATTTATTTTTATTTATTTTTTTATTTTTTATTTTATTTTATTTTTATTTTATTTTAATTTTATTTTATTTTTATTTTATATTATTTTATTTTTTTAGAAAATCGTTTTTTATAGACTAAGATCGATAATCTACATGAGATCTAGGAAGACCAAGATTTTTTGAAGTTGGATGATAATATATAAGACCAAGATTGTAAAATTATAGAGTTGGAGGATTCTTTAGAATTGTTAATATTTGTTTCAGTTATCCCTAAAATATCTAATTTTTCTTTGGTTCCAAAGTCTATAAGCTCTTGCAATTTACTTCTATTTCCTTTTATTTTACTAATATTGTTAAAACCTAACTTTACTTGTACAAAACTATTTTCTAATTTGCTTGTGTAGTTTGGGCTTTCTAGCTTTAGGGTCTCACTTGACCCTTTTAACTATGGTTTAACTGTAGCTACTTTTAGAAGCATTGGGCAATTTGCTGCTCTAGCTCTGTAAATCTTTCTTGTATCTCATTTACAAGGTCTCAAAGCTACTCTTTCTTGTTTGATTTGGTTTCTTGCTCTGTAAGTTTTCTTTTCTCTCTGCCCAATTCTATCCTGTGTGAGCCAGTTGTACAATTATTCTCTCTATTTTCAAGAGAATATTTTGGCTTGTTTCTGACTCTTCTGTTACTGCTACTGCCTTTTTTCTTGTCAGTTATAACTACTAACAAATATTGTCTTTGCTGTTTTGCTTCTTGGGCAGACGTTTAGCTATTTTTCCTTCTTTAAGCATCTCTGATTCATCAAGTGCTCTTTTACCTTAGCTTATACTTCTATTTTCTTTTTTATACTGAAATGTGATGTTGTGAGGCTCTTTTCTGTTTGGAAACTCTGTATGTAGATGCTACTCAAGCTTTGTATTGAAGTAATATAAAGTAGAGTTGTGGGCTTGTAAGAGATCCTCTTTTGATTTGAAGTATATATTCACTCTTTTTTTTTTTGATTGTCATTTTGGTTGGTTAAGATATAAACAGCTTGGGCTTTGTATTTTTTAAGTTAGCGAAGAAGCAGATTGTTATAGACTATTGTTGGTATATTGGTAATTGTATTTTTATAGTTGTTTCTTGCTTCTAATTCTGAGATATCAAATTTGCCTAGGGTGGTTCAGTATGTTTTTTCATAACTCAAATGTAATGACCAGCTTTCTTTTAATGACTTGATCTTTTGATTTGAGTTTAGCAAAATTTTTATATAGGCTGCTTTAGTTTTGAAGTTTTGTTGTCATGTAAAAATTGTTGTTGTGCCAAAAAAATTCAAGTAAGACTTGATTGTTGTTGTATTCATCTCTTTTGGAAGGTCCCAGATTATAAAGTAGTATATTGAAGAAGGAAGATACTTTTGTAAAGAAACCATGTTTTTTGAAGCCCAGGCTAAGTTATAGATATCCTCATATTGTTTGGATTTCTTGTATCTTGTTTGAAAGGAAAATTTATTAAATTATATTAATTTATTATATTTTTTAATTTAATTATTTATAAATAATCAAAAACACTCTCTCTAATGATCTCTTATACCAAAAATTTCACTAATACCAACCTACAAATATTGTGTAGTTAGTATGTTGTTTCATAATGTTATAGAATAGATTTTTAGTATTAGCTTCTTGAATATATAAATATTAGTATAATTATTATTTTATCGTATTGTTATTATCCTATATTATTATTAGTTTTATTTAGTATTTAGTTAGCCAAAAGAGGAAAACTTGTAAAAAGCGTACTTGACGCTTAACACCTGACGCTTGATGCTTGACACTTAACACTTGATGCTTGACGCTTAATGCTTGCTGCTTGATGCCTGATGCCTGACGCTTGATGCTTGATGCTCGACGCTTAACGCTTGATGCTTCTCGGCAACACTTAGCACTAAGTGTTGATGCTTTACCTAATGGATATAAAAACCCCACCAATTCCCCCAAGTTAAGCAAGTTCCAACAAGTTCGAAATCCCCTATAACTTAGACAAATTATATTCTCCTTCTTCCTTAGATTAGTTATCTTTATAAAGGATTCCTTTAGGCACAGAAACCTATCAGATAGCCTTATCTCATCTTAATAAATAAAGTTATATTTTATCTATAAACTCTTGCCTCCATCACAAATTGCCTTAGAGAAGGTGTAGTTTCTTAATAGATACAAGGAATTACACTTCCCTCTTGGACACCGCTATAAACCAGTAAAGGATCTCTGTAGTTATGTCATTGTTATAGTAGCGAGTTCAAGAAGGCCTCCCTATCGTAACAGTACTAACATGAAACTCAGATAATGAAATTAAGAAAGTTTTAGAAAAAAGCAGGCATCATGAAATCTACAAAGTCTTAAGAGACTAGGAATCTGGTATACAGACCAAATTGTAATTAAGGAATCACAATCACTTTTATTTTGGTAACAAATTAGAAAAATCAGAAATGCTATGTCAAAAGGAAGAGTTCCTAACTAGTTTGAGAAACTAGAAAGCATCCTAATTAAAAACTCACAGATGAGAATAGTCAAAGCCCAGTTTAGAATCCAGAACAGTAATAGAGCCTTATGTTAAATAAAAAAAATATCTCAAACAAGAAGTTCAAAAATGAGTAAGTACTAGGAATAAAAGATGGAGAAGATGAACTAATACTAGGAAGAGTAAACAGAAAGCTAGCAAATAAGAAAGTTGAAATAATTGAGTAGGAAGAAGAGCCAAAAGAGAATATTTTGATATTAGAAAGGCAAACCAAGTACAGGATAAGAGAAAAAAATCCTATAAAGAAAAGAAAACTAGATTGAAGATATAAATGAGTGGGTTAAAAGAGATAACGAGGGTTGGAGTCTATTAATCAATATAGTAAAGTTTAAAAAAACATCAAAGCTAGATTTAAGAGAGCAAGCTAATATAACAAAAAGCTTATTTAGCAGAAAAAATTAATATCAAAAATTAGAACTTCTTTAATATAGAAAAAATATTTGAAAACTCTTATAATATAGCAGAAAGCAAAGAGGCACTTACAGACAATTATAATTTTAAAAACTTAGTTTTTTTTACAGACAATAGGTAGTTATATAGCAGAGTATAGTATAGTCCAAGTAGAAAATCATAGTATAGTTAAAGAATTAAAAGGTAGAATAGAAAGATGGTTTTTATTGATAAGGGCAGAACTAATAGCGGTTCTACAAACAATTCTGATTACACTCTCTGACTGAAAAGTGAGCATATATACAGATAGTCAAGCGGCAATACAAAGCATTAACAAGGCTCTGAAGATAAAGCAAGTAAGAGAATAGTACAAGCTTAGTAATGGTAGTATACTAGACAAAATAGTAAAAAATATAAAGGCAAAAAAAATTCTGCTAATCTTGCATAAAGTTAAAGCTCATTCAGGAGTAATAGCGAATGAGAAAGCAGACACCTTAGCAAAACTCGCACTAAAAATGCCAAAAAAACTAGCTTTAAATTAGAAAACACAGAAGGAGCAATATTCTTACCTACTTGGCATGTATTATATATCGAATCCCCAATAAGATCTTTTATAAAAAAAATAATAAACATATTTCACAAGGCAGAATAGACATTTATTAGATACCAAAATGACAAAAGATATTCAAGAAGGGACTCAGGCAAAGACTGAAAACCCTTTTAGAAGCTCTAGTATAATACAAGAAAATCTAAAGATCATACTCTAAAATCAAACAAGAAATAGTCTTTTAGAATTAAATCCACAAACACCTTACTACCCACACTAGTTAAGAGAAATAGAGACCAAAAGAAGCTTTATAACAGTACTACTTGTCTAAAATATAAGCTAAAGGAAGAAATCTTTGAGCATCTAATGGCCTATGAGGCAGATACAGAACTTTGGGAAGAAAATGAAGATCTAATCATCAAAGAAATCTGGAAAAAGTTAAATAAAGAGGTTCAAGAAATACTAAGCCAATACAAATTAAAAAAAGCTATTACAAACCCAGAAGCCTCAAGCGCTCAAAGAAGAGAGAATCTAGCAAGAGGAATTCTAGATATATCATGCAGAAACAAACTAAATACCATAGGTCTCAAAGAACAAACAATTAATTAGATCCTTATATCATAGCTAGAAAAGTGGTTTGATATATTTCAAGAGCAAATTTGAAAACAAAGATATAAAGTAACCCTGGCCTGGAAAAGAAAATTCGGTATAAACATAAGACAGAAAAAGAAAAAAGAAAAAAAGAAAAAAAGAAGACAGATAAGAACAAAATCAGAGCTAGGTTTAAGAGAGAATGCAGAAATTAAAAGGCCAAAAGAAAAATCAAAAAAAAAAACAGAGGA